GGCTATCACCACCCCTGTGTAGGTCACGCCCAACAGAGACACTAACATCTCTTCAGCTAATGAACTGGAGAAGATCAATATCAACAACAACAAGTTCACTGACTTACCACTCTTAAAGCATTTTTAAATGCTTTAACAGCTTTAAAGCATTTATAAATTGCTGTGAATAACCATGACTGCTGACACAATTATGAAGTCTCAAACTTCAACCAAAAAATGCAACTCTGTACCACCAATTATGATTTTAGTGGAAGGATCTGTGGCTTCCAAGAAGTTCTGAGATGAAATAAGTAAAATTGAACAATATCCTTACAACTAGAATATATTATGTTAGCCATAACGACAAAAGCCTCACGCTGTGAACATAAAAAGCAGGCAGCACTTTATCTGCAACTAGTGATGTTCTATTTCACCACTAAATTAAAAGCTAACAGTCACTGCACACCAAATTCCATAACACATTTCATTCTGCTACAAAGGAATCATTTACAAAATACATGCCAAACCAGAGATGAGTATCTAAGATGACATTTTGCAGGTTTTTGTCTTGTAACTACAATGAAGTAGAAAAAGTTAAATTAATTCGTCTGAGTTGCATTTTCACCCAATAAAAAGCTTAGCAAAGGCTTTTGACTTTGATGTTGTGCATCTAGAAAAAGTAGCTCACTTCTCTGTCCACACTCAATTTACTCCTCAGCTGGAATAAGAATCAGCTCTCCACCACCAAACAAATATTGATTTCAGGAGTAGTTCATTCAAATTTCAGTAACGATTTGTTTGATCAGTCAGTGCAATAAACCCTTTGGAGACAGGGCACTTGTGGTTTTGACAGTTAAGTTGTACTTCAGAGAGAATGACTCTTGTTTTCATAAACTGCTCCTCTAACAAGAAGCTTAATGTCTTTTGTTTTTCTGATTTCATGTTGCTGCTTAGCTGTTTGCAGACCCTACTCAATTGTTACAATTCACAATTTCAACAATCCCAGCAGTTTCACTGAACTGTTTATCAATACAGAACATTTCACCTCAGGGAACTAGTTGCAGCACACACACACATCCAACATGCATAAAAATGGTGACAAAGACGACACTTGCTTAAAGACAGCAGCAAGGTGTCAAGAAGCAGCACTCTGCATTTCTCCTACATACACGTGCATGAGCTCTCCTCGTGCCTCTGCTTGGGTATTTTGGGAAGATACTTTGCCATGACTGCTTGGGAGCTGTGATGATATTCTGTCTCTGGGTCAATTTTGCGAACCCTAACAGACCCAAAGTCCTCTGTTAAACCTCAGATGATATTATCTTAATTTATTCCTGTTTGGGAGGCAAGGAGATGACACCTAGTTGACCAGAAGAACCTTGTTTCCCCACTTACCAGTCAAACCCTTCCCTGAACTCAAGTAGAAGTGACAGAGCAATTTTTCCTTTCCCTTATCCTCTGAATATTAATGGAAACCAAGGACTTTACTGTAGCATAAGTGTGTAGCAAGACACAGGTCAAGCTCCAGATTTAGGTTTAAAGACCAGTCTGCTCTCTGCTTTATCATTTACCACAGCATCATAAACTGCAAAGCACCAAAATGCCACTCTGACGGAGAAAGTACCTCTTTGCTTGTGCTGCTTGACAGAGGATGCACTGGTGTATTTGAATTCCTGGAAGACTCCTTCTTCTTCTGCTTGTGGTCATGCTGGAGAGACAGAAGCTGTGTCTGGTCTTTGGGGAGAGTTCGATGCACCTTCCTGTTGTGCTGCACATCTTCCATCTTCTGAAAGCAGAGAGTGATGCACCTCAGAGAGAACAATGCCTCAGAAGACAACCAGGTTGCCTGCTGGAAATACTGTCTTTTCAAACAACAAAACTAGTACAATTCCAGCAGGGCCAACAGAAGAATCAGAACCCTGAGCAACAGGAAGCATAAAGTGACACCAAACACTCTGTTCGGCTTTTTAGACAGTATGTTAGATAATCATATTTCTTCTTTTCACTTTTCTTAAGCCCAGAGGTCTTTAACCAAACACTCCATGCTTCTGTTTGATTACAAATCAATTTGCAGCTGAAACACTAGAAAAACATTGTGGCCAAGGTGCCAGACTTGATAATGAGTCTTCAGCATTAAAATTAATTCTGCTCCATTGTTTTTGTGAAAAAGAAATGGTCCTGGTTACAACCTGAATAGAAAATGGAGACTAGAGTTTTAAGCTTAGGTTTAGATGATGCTGGAAGCTTTCAGGATACAGGAAGTTTAAATCAGCACAAAGTGACTGAAGACCAGTTCAGTGCAGAGAAATAGCAGGGACAGAAGTGGGAGAGGCAATGTCCCTGCTGTAGATAAGGATGACTCAGTAACATATAAGTTGACTCAAAAGAAGGCTGAATTGAAGAACAAGAGGCAGTAAATGCACTAAAGAAATCATTCTTTGGTCCCTGAGTCAGGATGGGAACGCCCGCAGGGAAGTGAGAAGGACATGAGATACAGGAACAGGAAGCCACAAATTGCTATCAGTAAACACTCTTTTCCTACCTGCTTCTTTTCTAATATCCTCTGTCCATCTACTATGAAGTGTTCATCTTCCACAGCTCTTTTGTCATCTTTACTCCTTTCCTCTTTCCTCTGACTGGCCTTCGCCTCTGGCCACCTCTGCTCACACTCCTGTTGCCTTCGTAGCTCCTGCTCTTGCCTCTGGTGCTGGAAGAGAGCCAGGGAAAAACATTGCTTATTTTACTTTATTTTTGTACCCACCAATTACTTCTGCCAGTGTTCATTAATCACAAGGTCCACTTCCTGCTCTGCAGTCACTAGCAGGGGACACCCGACACACCACGCCGCAGAAGCAGGCAGCAATGAGCTGCCACCACCACAACTCCCAAACTTGAAGCGAAACCTTTGCCCTTTATGGCAGCCAAGGGCAGATTTGTCATTCATTTACGAAGGCATGCAAGATCTCTGCGACAGCTGGCAGCTAATCTAGTGACAAATGTCTTCCCGTCATTTCGAGAAGGAAGGGTTTTTCCGGAGTGCCCTCATTTTGCTGGAGCAGCTCCATAAATGTCAGGCAGGGGACACCCGACACACCACGCCGCAGAAGCAGGCAGCAATGAGCTGCCACCACCACAACTCCCAAACTTGAAGCGAAACCTTTGCCCTTTATGGCAGCCAAGGGCAGATTTGTCATTCATTTACGAAGGCATGCAAGATCTCTGCGACAGCTGGCAGCTAATCTAGTGACAAATGTCTTCCCGTCATTTCGAGAAGGAAGGGTTTTTCCGGAGTGCCCTCATTTTGCTGGAGCAGCTCCATAAATGTCAGCTCTGAAGGGTTCACACAGTGCTTGAGTTTGGTCAGTTACCCATGACAAGAGACATGGTGGTGATTGCTGTGTTGTGTTAGGACCCTTGATACAAAAAAGATACTGAAATGCTGGAACATGTCCAGAAATGGGCAATGGAGCTGGGGAAGGGTCTGGAGCACAAGTTTTATGAGGAGTGTCTGAGGAAGCTGGACTTGTTTAGCCTGAAGAAAGGCAGGTTCAGACGGGACCTTACTGCTCTTTACAACTATCTGAAAGGAGGTTATAGCCAGCTGAGGGTTGGTCTCCTCTCCCATGTGAGAAACAAGTTGTGGCATGGAAGGTTCAGATTGGACATTAATAAAAATTTCTTTAATGAAAGGGTGGTCAAGCACTGGAACAGAGTGCACAGGAAAGTGGTCAAATCACCATTCCAGCAAGTGTTCAAAAAACATGTGCATGTGGCACGTAGGAACATGGTTTAGTGGTGAACACGTCAGTGCTGGGTTAATCATGGGATTTGATGAACCTAGAGGTCTCTTCCAACCTTAACATTTCTGTGATTCACCACTGCCTCCACACCAGTGTGTCAGGCAGCCCAAAAGCACCAGCTATCTTTTAACATCTTAAATGGAAGCAGGGCCAGAACTCTGGACCAGACTGACTCTGAACTGGGAAATGCACATGAGAAAGCAACAGGGATCTCTCATCCCATCTGCCTGGGCTTCCACCACCAAACTAACTCAACCCAAATGCCCTTCTTCTGCTCCCAAAGCTCAGGGCAGGCTGCCAGCAGGAAAAGGACAGAGCCCATTTAAAATCATTGTGTTCAAAAGTGACACAGTTCCCCAAGGTGGAAGACTACAATCCAGGTTGTGCTGACAACGTAACACAGCTTTCTTGCCTTTCAAAGCCTACTCTCTACAGGCACATTTTTTATTTGTGATAAGACACAGAATAACAATACAAGCCAGTCCCTACATCCTCCAGCCTCCTCCTCTGCTCTTTCTGCTGCTCAATCCGCTTCTGTCGCTCTGTCAGTAGCTGTTTCTTGTATTTCTCCTGGTCCTTCAGCTGCTGCTGCTGACGATGAGGGTCAGAACGGTTTTTGTTCTCCTGCTGCAGCCTCAGAAATTCACGACGGAGAGTTGACTCTCCCGGGAGATTAACTATGGAGCTGAAACAAAGAGGAGGTTTCTACATGACTAAACATAACATTAAAGAGAGAATACAAGGTGCATTGGGAATTGCTTGTTGTCCTGTGTTAGCAAATTAAGATATATCTCCAGCATGTTGACTCTGCATCCACACTTGCTGTGCTACAAAACATCCTGAAGCTGATTATTGGGTCCTTCATTTGAGAGTTTCCTCCCTATTGCAGAGGAACTAAGAAGCAGCTTATTACAGATATTTTATACTCAGCAGTTATGTTTGATAGCTACAAAACAGTTAATGCTACCAAAGGGACACAGGAGATTAGGGATTCAGAGCAAGTTAAGAAAACTATTCTAGCTGAGGAGAGCTGCCTTCAATGAGAACAGCTTGGGCAGTCAAATTCCAGTAATAAAATTAACCTTGGTTCTCCTTCATCTTCATTCAGCTCATCATCTTCCTCCTCACTTCCACTGTAATCATAGTCCGTTTCTTCTAAAAAAGAGAATAAACAAACCCCAGAGAAGGATACTGTTATTTAAGATATGATCTTGAACTTTGCTTCTGAGCACTCAACCTGAACTACAGGCTCAGCAGGAATTGGAATTTAAAAGTCACAGGTTGCACTGAGAGGCTGAGGGGAGGAAAAATATCCATGTACATAATTCAAAATCTAGTTCAGATAATGTTTCAGGGCAGCCCCTTTACACACATCCACCTTTTCCCTTGACTGACTGTATTGGTTTTGCAAAACTAACCTATTTCCATAATCTGAAACAAATTAGGCTAAACCCACAGAGAAGCCCCACACCCACAGCACCACCAGCAGAGGGGTTCTTCAGAAAGACATTGAGGTAGGACATGAGAGCCTTGTGCTGCCCTGCTCTGCTGCTGTATCCCTGTTGTATGGCTACACTGAGGCCTTCAGAAAATCCAGGTTTCCTTTTGTATTAAATAACTAAAAAATCCAACCAAACTCGTGCTAGTTTTAGCACAAAGGTTCAGAAGCAGCCGACCCATGAAGTTCTCTTCAAGACTAACATGCAGGCAGCTTTGCAGGATAATTTCAACCTAATTCTACCCTGCATTGCTGGCTACACTGCATGCTGTATTGCCACTTCATTTTTTTTTGAAGCAACTATTTTGAAGTGTATAGTCTGGCATTTTCACACTGTTCTTGCTTTCAGGAAAGCTTTGATTAAAAATAGCACTTTTCAGGTCACAATATAACTATCAAGAAGTGATTGTTACCACTGCATTTCTACCCCCACCACACCTGCCAAGGGCATTTGTGAGAAACTAACTCACTATGTTTCCATTCCAATGTGATTTTAGATTTGTAGCTGAAAGAGGTGGCAGAATTTGCAACTATTACTGGAATCAGTAAATCTACATTGCAACAGAAATTTCATTTTAGGCACAAATATTCCTTGTCTAATCACTACTTGGAGTTTATAAGACACTTTCCAACACCATAGTACTCTCCAAGTTTGCCCTCATGGTCACTGATCTTCACAGTGCCTCTGCCAGTATAAAATATACAGAAGAGGAAGAGGGGAGAGAGAGCAGAAAACTGTTGGTCAACAGGCTATGTGTCTCTATCCCCTTTGCGCAGCCCCTAGTCTGCTGTGCACAGGCATTTACACAAATATCATCCCACTGCTTCTTCCAGGTTTGCTCTGAAGTACAGGGCTGGCATTTGGAACAAACTCAGAATCTCTTTTTCTTCATCCAGTCTGTGAAGCAGATGATTCATTATACCCATTTGTGTTTTCCTGGAGCCTGGAGCCCTTTCGAGCTCTCTTTTGTGCACTGCACTGCAAAACTAAAAAGCACCACTTCCCCCAAAGAACTCACAAGATGAAATTATAAGGAGATCTGACAGGTAAATTAGATGGATCTGGGACAGAAATATGAACTAAGACACCAGGAAACATTTCTGGAGTACTTCTTAGATACCCAAGAAAGAAGAAATCTAGACTTTTACTTGGACTCCTTGCTCCTGTTAGCATCAGGGTTGCTCTCAGTGAGTCAAGGTCAGTCAGGTTCCAAACACTTTAGCACTTAAACACCATTAAGGACCCAGGATTTGACAAAGAGATCTTCAGAATGGCCCCACCACTATCAAGGACACTATCAAGGACAATACTTTTTCAATTTTCCTGCTTCTAGTATTTCAGTTGCATTTGCCTTGTGCTCTGCTGCCGAAATCCAAAAAGGACCTGCTCTCTGAAGTCCCTTTTATTTTGGTTTTGCCATGTTACCCTTTTCTCCTTTTTTCTTCCTGGTCCTGTCCAGGTGATCTTTCAGCATGATGCGCACTTGCCGTTCGTTCTGCATGTCTCGGATGAAGGAATGCTTAAGCAAGGTTTCAGTGGATGGACGATGCAAATAATGTTTTACAAGGCAGCTTTCAACGAAGTTTAGGAATTTCTTTGACCTGAAAAAGTCAAAACAGTGGAGGAAAACCAACAATCCTTTCCAACTTATGCACTGAGCACTACCCCTGCATGATGGAAAGCACTAACTTTGCAAGGTTTCCTTTTACACTGGAACTGCATGA